AGGTCACACTACAGTTATACTGTATAGTGCTATATCTAGTGTATATTATAGTATGCCTTCGAGGTCTCATATGCTAGCTGCTATAGATCAAGAAGGCTATACTATATACAATATATTTTATACTTACAGCCATATCAAACTCTCCGATGTTCTGAAGACTATAAAAAGTCTTAGTCTTCCTCTCTTTGTTATTGCAAGGAAATAACAAAAAAATCGTTGCCAGATATCATTGTCAGACCTATTGAATATCATTAACACCCGTTTCAGGTCATATGTACAATATTTACAACCAGGCGGCACCTTTGATGTGGCTATTATTTTTCCAAAGTTTTATTTTGGCAGTTGGCTTGCAAATTGCCAATATTAAAACCGCTAATCATTAATGCGCTTGCTTACATTGCTCAGTAATGCATGTGTACACAAAAATTGCTAAATTAAAAATTGCCAATTACAATTTTACAGCAAAATTTCCAAAATAAAGTGCTATGTAATAATGTACATACGTGTACGTGTACTTTACCTTAAGTGATAACGACATTACTAAAGTCTGTTCAGTTTCACCTGACCTATTGATTTTTTGTTATGGCTTTTGATAAACATGGAATTTAGAAATTTTTGTTTGCACCATTAGAATCTCTAGGTCCTTCCTGTTCTTTAGAAAAAAGATCGGGTCAAAATGACAAGGCCTTAGCCTTTTTTGGATGTCCCTTTATAAACTCAATGACATACCTTTGACCACAATTATGCAGCTAGAACAGCCAGAATGAATTCAGCTGCTGATTAGCGCATAGCTGCACGGCTTCCATGCAACAAAAACAATTCCAAAACCACAAGTACGATGTGGATGTGAGTTACTGTATTTATTAATGGATAAAAGCCAGGGTTCAGATGAAAGGGAGTAGACTTTAAAATAATTATTTTAACTATTTCCACTATACGATGAAATACATTGGGCGTCTTTTTTGAGGGCTATAGATTTCACGGATTTTTATTTTGTAGATTCATTTTTTTGGGAATTTATGCTGTCTGCCATCTTGTATGGTATTAATTTGATTTTGCGGAAGTAATTTTTGTGAATCTTTTAAAAATCACAAAATCCATGAAATTTGCAGCCCTCGAAAAAAAGCACCTACTGTACGTACCACTGGATTTTATTTTGCCCATGTCCCCAAAAATTGTACAAGTAATCAGTGGCTTTTATATTGTGACCATGTGTCATTGAGCATACTCGGAATGAAACAAGCACATTAAAATTACATTACAATTGTGTTTTACAGATATCATTATTATTGTAATTAGTATTGTGTAATAGTATTGATGTGTGTCTATGTGTACCATCTTGAATACTCTTGTATGTTCTATATGTAGGTATTCTTTTTGTGGCTGTTCTGCTATCTGTATAGTTATTATTGGGACTCTTTATTGTGGTTTTGTAATGTACATATAAGTTGCTATGTGTTGTGGAACCTTTTGTCAAGTTCTAGTTTTTTGTGTTAGTATGATTTTCAGTGATTTGTAATAAACTTAGTTGCTTTTGAGTGATCATATACTCTGCGAAGTCGCTGTTTTACAACAGCAGATTGTTTTATTGTACAGATCTCCAAGTGTGTATTAAATACTTTATTAAATAATATTGATCATTCCTTACCAACCATAATATTGGGGGATTTTAACAAAGATTTGAATGGCTATGCTTATGATTCACAAATATCATACCAAAATTGGCAGATTTTATATTAGCCTTTTTGGATTTGCCAATCTGTCAGTATATGTAGCTATACATGTAAATTTACATGTAAGGCAGATTTGCAAAGAAATAAATAAATGCCCAAGTGTGTAATCTATTTACTGATAGTAGCCGTGTTGTAACATGCAGTAATAACAGTTACCATTACTGTATGTACATGTACATGTATGTTAAAAGTGACATAAATTCAAAGTATTTGTTTCTTTTCAGATCAGAGAGCCATGAAGACCTTAAAACAAGTCCTTACAGATGCTAAAGTAGAATATACAAAGGATATTCAAATTATTGTTCTTGGGAAAACTGGTGCTGGTAAATCAGCACTTATCAACAGCATCATTGACTTGGAGAGAATAGTTGCTAAAGAAGGTGCTGATACGGAGCCATGCACAGGCACTGTCCGACTCTACCAATGTTCTAATGTCATTCCTGGGGTTAATGTTACAATTATTGATACACCTGGTCTACAGGATATTCATCAAAAGGAGCAGTGGTACATACAACAAATGAAGAGCAAATGTCAAGAGGTCACCCTAATACTCTATTGTATGAAAATGACTGATCGCCGACTTACGAATGATTATATAGTTGCCATGAAGAAGCTTCATCAAGCCTTTGGCCCGAAGTTTTGGGAAAGAGTTGTGTTTGTCCTCACTTTTGCGAACAAGGAAGATTGTGATGAGCGAATAGATATAGATGAGCCAGAATCAGACTCTGAACCACCTGATGATGATGACGAAGCTTGGGCTGAAATAACGAGGAAACGATTTACTCATAGAATTGAACATCGATCTAAAGCAATAAATGTGTTTTTAAAGGATACTTTTCATATCAATGATGTCCCTTTTTCAGTTGCTGGAACGTACAAATCACATCGCAAAAACCGTAAACCTATGGTCCTACCAGATAGGGAGAATTGGGTGGTTCATTTTCTCTCACTTTGTTCTCATGAGATTAAAGAAAAGCACAAGTTTACTAAATTTAGTTTAAATCACAGTAAGTATCAGTAATACTTCAATACTTTTTATTCTGCATGTATACAGGGTGCATGGGCAGTCATTTTTTTAGTTTATTTATTCATTCCAGCTAACCTGATTAACTGTTTTTTTTATTGTAGAGATCCACTTTGCTATCATTATTGATAATTATGGGGAGGTCAGAGAGGACACTGAAAAAAATGATCAGGTCATTATTTTAAAAGAGGCTTTGGAAGGTCTTGGTTTTTGCACCCTCTGCTTTAATAATCTCAATCTTGAGTCAATTCTTTTCCTTTTTGAAGCATTTCAACACGTTGATCATTCTCAGTTGGCATCATTTGCATTATTATTTCTCAGTAAAGGAAATACAAATCATCTTTATGATGCTAATAGCACAGTCATTACGTTTGAACAAATTTTTGCATTTTTTAAAGACACTGATGCCTCTAAAATCCCCAAGCTTTTTCTTTTTCATTTGGCCTATGATGGTAAACCACCAAGTGATCGACTGGTGGTTCCTGATCCTCCTAATAATTCTATTGCTTTGGTCGTGTCTGTAAAGCATTTGAAATCTATGAATGTTTCACCAGCTCTTACTTCTATTGTTGTCAATCTGCTACCTGAAGAATGTCATAGCAAGCCTCTGGAGCAATGCTTTCAAGAAATGAAGCAGCAGATTAAGCAACTGGATAAAGCAACTTGTATCTATAATAACAGTCTTCAAGAATGCTTTGTTTTGCCAACTTCTTGTGCAGTTAATGTTCATGAGTAAGTCATATTATATAACTCTAAAAATTATGATTTATGTTTATTTTTAGGTTACTGGAAAGGAAGTATCATTTGTGTTATGCAATGTGGTATTTTATTCGTCACAAGACAATAGAAGTGTTGTTGGAGAATAAAGATGAGGTGATGAAAATAGTTCGATATGAAAGGATAAGCAAGATAATGTCATCAGCAGCTGGTATAGTGGGAGGAGGTATGATTGGAGTCGGTGTGCTGTTTGCTATTCCTACTTGGGGTGCTTCATTGAATGTTGCTGTTGCTGGCGGTGCAATTAGTCTTATGGGTGCTGGTGGCAATCTGGTTTCTTCTATTGCATCAAAAGTGGCATCCAATAAACGTTTGAAGAACGCTCAGTTTTTTGTTACTTTTGATCGGCAGTTTAGTATTCAACTAAATACTGTAGTTGCAAAGTATGCAGAATCACTTGAATCGTTCAAAAAAGAAACTTTTATTAGTGGAGTGAATGCATTTACTGGTGTAATTGGTGCTGCTCGAGTTGTCGTTGAAGAAGGAAGTGAATTAGCATTAAAAACTGCTAGTAAAGTACTAGTAGTAGTTACTATTCCTCTTGATGTTGCTGTTTTGATTTACAATTCTTATCTGATACACAATGCAGCTCAGGATGAGACTGGCCAGACTGATAGCAACAGCACCATTCAAAAATTAATAGAACAATTTGGAGACTCTTTAAAAGGTCTGTAGTTTACATTTATACTGTAGGGCACCTTTTTTGAGGGCTACAAATTTCATGGATTTTAATTTTTGCAAATTTATGCCGTCTGCCATTTTGTACCGTATTAATTTGATTTTTGAGAATCTTTAAAAAAATTGCAAATCCACAAAATTTATAGCCCTTGAAAAAAGGTGCCCTACGGTATTATTTCATTTTATTTTGTTCATGTACATGTATACTTGTATAGGTTTCTTTCATGTTATTGAGACTTCAAAACACAGAGAGAGTGGTGAAGTAATTAATAGAGAGTATGGCTATAAAGTGATTCTTCAAAAGTCTATTCCACAAGAGAAACCTCCAGTAACAGTGTCCACTATACTCTCTGGTCCATTTAATTTACCTGAAGAAGCAGTATTAGTCAGTGCAGTTTATGATGTCCTGATTGACAAAAGCTTTAAAGGGTAACTTCAGTGGCATTTTTGAGATA